TATTTGAAATTAAGGATGTGTTTGATCCACATTATTTTGGAAGAATGTATTCTGAAATAGTAGATTGATGGAGAATATGTGGTTGAAAAAGAAGGAAAAGTTATTGATGTGATGAGAAATATTATTTTATTGAATAATGTGTAGTTGAAAATGAGTTAAAGAATGTGAATAAAAATGGAAATGTGGCTCAAACAGAGACCATGATGTGATTGTCATCGTCTACTTATTGTTGGTCAGCTTATTGTCTTTCTAAACGAGTCTCAAAATCATTACTGTTAAGACCTTGTGGAGACAACAATTGTATCCATCCTACAAGACTCTAAAGGTAAGTGATGATCGAGAACTATTGCTGGTAATGTAAGAATTCTATGCAGATCTCTATATGCATTTTGCAAGGATAAATCTACATTTTCAATTGCAAATAGAATTGTAGTTTATCTAATGATTCATGAGCTACTTTTCATTGCTTTTAATATTTTGAATTGTTTATAGTTATGAGTTGTTGCCAACAATAAATTTTTCCATACCGGGAAATCTTGTCTTTCTTGGGATCCAGGACCAGGGTGTTGAAGATATCATAAATTCAAAATTAGAGATCTCAATGAATTGAGAACCTCGTGGTAAGAAAACGGCTTTTTTTTTTTTTATCGTTGTACTGTGATTTTTAATGGGCAAGCACTCAAAAAGGCTTGTCAATTTCCCCAGTTTGTCAATTTTGCTCAGTGTTCTAAAAAGCACCGCCTAGACGCCAAGCGGGTGCAAAATGCCCTACCTCACGCTTTTAAGAATAGTCAAACACGGTTACTACTGAATGGTCCAGCATTGGATGTCATCTCATCAACTACACATTCTTCAATAAAATAATATTACACGTAAAATTAAATATTTTCCTTTTTTTAACTGTACATTCTTCAAAAAATTACTATTCTCATTATTATAATTTGAAAAAATGGAGTCCGAACGAGGGGCTAACATTTTCTAATTCTATCTTTAGCCCCATCCCGAAGCAGAGTACAAGGTATCCAAAGCCAATGATCGGCATTGGAGTTTAATTTTCTTTGGACTTTGTTACTTGTACATCACAATATACATCGGGGTGTACACCCCACTCGCATGGGGGTGGGATCCACTTAAATAAAAAAAATATTTTATGCAGTGGGTCCCACCCCTCATGTGAGGAGGTGTAGCCCCTTATGT